CGTCTCCGCCTCGGGCTCCTCCTCCACCTGCTCCACCGCCGTTGGTCGGCCCCCTGGAGTCGGCAGCCATCCCTCCTCCATGGCTCCTCCCACCGTCGGCTCCACTGTGGGCCGCTGTTATGGCTGTGGCCTGGGTCCTGCTAAGCTCCTGCGGCCCCGGTTCCCTCCTGTCTCCTCCCTGGTTCCTCCCTCCTTCGTCGCCCTCCTGGCCTCCTCCCGGATATCCGTCCTCTGCCGGAGCCTCCACCTATCATGTCTGCCTGCCAGCCCTTTGCCTTCCCCTGGCAACACTTCTTATTTAAATTTTTTTTTAGTTATAAATTTTTCATTGAATATTTATATTTTGTTTTATTAAAATTAAGTTAAAGCTATTTTAAATAGTTTTAGTTAACATTAACAACACTGCTGTAAAGCATGGCTTCTCGTGGCACAGTTCAGCACAAAATGTGTGTACATCGCTGTTAATGTCTGCTAGAGGTGCTTTTTTTTCTGCAGAGCTAACAGACATGGTCTAAAAGCCACAAAACTTTGATTTCTGTCAGGACCACTATCGTCAAAGGTGATTGACAATTAGCATACAGTTTGGATTGGCGGTATGGTTCTGTTCTGGGCAAGAACTCCCTGAGCATCCATGCAGCCTAGCATGGATAAGAGCAAGGAGAGCAGTGATAACCCCCCTTGGGTAAACAGAACAGAACCAACATAAATGTATTGCAGAACCAATGATCCAAACGAGTATGTTGCCAAAACCCACATAAGCCATAGCAACAAGCATGTTGCCCTTAACCAGATGACCCCTGAAAAGCTTAAGCAACAACATGTTCCCAATAACAACCAGATCGCTTTCGAACAAGCATATTCCAATAACAACCAGAAAACTTAGGAACAAGCATATTCCAATAACAAGCAGATAGCTGTAGCAAATTAGCTCAAAAGGCAAATATTAATAATTAATCAGTTATAATTAATTATAAATATTTGGAGCAGCTAATGGAATTAATATTACAGTCAACAAACCTGTTTGTCCAGCAAACACCCAGTGTTAATTGTTTATTAATTCTAAGAAATGTTTATTTCCGGGGTACGGGAGTTAATGTCCTTATTGTACAGTACTACTTAGAGCATGTAGCCAAAATCTGCATGATTAGGGACTCCAGTTATGAGCAAAACAACATACAACCTTGAGTGTGATACAAACGAGTCTTTATTAACTACACTTAAACTATTCTAACACACACGCATACATGCATACAGTTTAGCACTGGGAAGAGAGATTAAGCAGAGTACAGGAATGCAAGAAGTTATAGTATTGTTTGAGATTCAGCAGATCAACAGCCTTGAGCAAACCATCAGTTTCTTAGTTGTAACACACCCTTCTTTAAAAGGGGTGGGGATACTTAATGGATCAAACAGTGAGACTAAGTTTGATAGTTGCATGTCTTGCCCATTTGAATCAAAGTGTCCTGATGCAGTTTGTTGAGGCTCCAGTTGATCTTGGCCGTTGTTGTCTTGATGAGAGAGAACCAGCTGAAATCTGAGGATGTTTGGTGAATGGAAAGACAAGGCCTGGCACAAACCTTAGAAGACTTCTAGCTCAGCATCCTCATCTTCTCAGAATCTAAAAGAACCACCCTGATCTTGTGATCAGTGATCTTTAAAGTGTGAGGGTGTCACACCCTCAGGATTTGAGTGAGCCCATGAGGAATGGTACCTTTGGAGGGAAATTTTACGATCCTTTGTCTCTAGCAAGGTGTTTTGCATATGAAACTGGATTAGCTGGTCAAGAGGAGAATCATATGATTACATAGGATACATGATTGTACATGTCTCAAGTGAATAGTAGACACAATATCCTGGAATATGTATGTTATTTCAGAGAAAGGTTTGTCTATGAATTTATGTGGTTGAAATGTCCGTTCTATGGGCCTGTGTCTGTCTTTCACAGGGTCTGTTCCATTGCACATAGCATCTTTCCACATACTTTCAAGCAATAAAACAGTCTTATCAGATGGTAGCCTGGGTAACAGCCCTCTTAGGGTGATAGTTGCACTTTTGTGCTCACAGAGTGGGTTTTAAAGATTATTAGTTAAATATAACAAATAATTGTGTGTCTGCTCGGTCCAGTCGTTACATAGCTTTGGAGCAAGCATGTTCCCAATATAACTATAGCTTTAAGAACATGCATGTTCCCAATAACAACTGGATAGCTTTAAGAACAAGCATGTTTCTAATACAACTAGATAGAACAAGCTTATCCGATACTCGGAACAGAATAAACGCTGAACTAACTTCAACTGAACAACTGCTGTTTACCATTTTCTCTTTGGAGCTGCACCACAGCAGAAATTATTCCGTTTGCACCATGATCATTATTTCCTGTCTATCATCGCAAAGCTGCCCGACTCTGTGCTGTATACTAATATATGAATAAAGGCAACTTGACTTGACAGGTTAAAGCACAGCATGTTGCAGCAACAAGCATGTTACCAACAAATAATAACACACATTACCAATATGATCGCATAAGCCTAGCACAAGCATTTTACTGAAAACAGCTAAATAAGCCTTAGGATAGCCTTAGCAACAAGCATGTTGCCAATAACCTGAGAGCATTAAAAATGAACTTAGCCTTGTGAAGACATTCAGAGATGAATGGAGAGTGAAGCATAGCCAGCTGTGACGTGGATGCTTGATCTCTCGGTATCTTTCTTCATGCGGTGAGTGCTTATCCCTTCTGAACTTGTTCTTGAGCCAGTCACATTAGTATAACTCATGGAGTCCATGTCAATAATGCAGCGATGCGAGAAGCAGTGCTAATTCAGTCAATTCCAAATCAGGCAGCTTATGATCAATGCGGCGAATTCATGTGTTCAAGTTCACAATCTGAATGAATCTAAGGTGAAGTCCATGAGGGGAACAAATTCCTCTCGCTAAATTCCTGATTGCACAATTCCTGGTGAGATGATGGGGTTTTGCCTGCTGAATTCACTATTTAATTAGCTATTGAGCAATGTGAAAGCTGCTGATAATACTGAAGGACCTTATATATGGATGCTGTGATAGGGGTCGTATCCCTATAGGAAGTGTGGATCAGCTGAGAGTCAGCTGATGCGAGCTTAACTGACGTGACCTGCCAGAACTAACGCAACACTTGCTTTTTTAATTCATTTGGTCTTTAATTAATGCAAGTGTCGCAGTGCATATTTAGCACTGGGTTCATAATGCTTGCTTATTCACTGTACACCTTGTGTTTAATGCTAACTGAAAACTGCTGTGCTATTACGTGAAGTCTGGTCCATTCTGCAAGAAATGCTGGACTGGTTGAATAAGAAGTAGTCATGCGGAGTAGTTCTATCAATACACAGAAATCCAAACCATTAAAAAAATGGTAACAAACCAATGAGAATAAAATACCTGAGCTATAAAGATTTGGATTTATACACTTGAGCAAATCAATATGTATTGTGGTTACTCTCCATGGGTGAAAATATTTTGATGATATCGTGTTTATGTCGACACGGCATGTCCCTCAGGGCTACTTGAATCTCTTTGAGTTGCGTCCTTGAGCGAGTGTAATGGAAAGCCAGCACATGCTATGTAAGCTACCGGCACACGGAAAACATTAAGCCCGTCTGAATGAGAGCTAAACATGTCTGTTTGCCTCTGAAGCCCTCACTTGGGAAAGTATCTCTTGAGAGTCACCAATGTATAATTCTCTCAGAATGCAACTAGACAAACAGTTCAGTGACTTTCAGTGTATTGCCAGCAGCCGCCCATGGGAGCCCACCTCTCATGTTCTGAGGACGAGGTATATTATCTGTCTGACTAGACCTGCTTTTGGCTTGGGTCTCTTATTGCCAAATAGATTGTGACAATGGACCTTGAGGTGGCTGACTGACTCAGACCAGCGCAGCAGGGCTCAATACCATTTGTAACCTTTGGGAAGCAGCTATTCTTCACCTCCATATAGACTTCAGGGCCCCCGTGAAGAAAATTCAATTCTCTCGTGCAACCGCAGAGGGGATCATCATAATCAGTAGAGGCAAAAAGACCTTGGAAGCTGTGAGTTCCCTCCCCTTTGTTTTTCTCCTGTAAAAAGGACCAGGTGCTTCAATGAAAGGAAAGAGCTTATCCATTAGAGATGAGAGACTAAGAGTACCAGAGTTTGTCTGAACCGTTCTTAAAAAACGTGATATATCGGAGACCTTGTTTTCATTTATTTTAAACTTAAGAAAAAGCCATTTTCCACCTTGAGTTTGCTTGGCCTGCGCAATGGCTGAAGTCGGTCATAATTCAGACCTGTGATTTCTCATTGAATCTGCCTCATGAATAAGGTAATTCTTTACACTTTTTTTTATTATTGTGACACACTTGGCTGGTGATGTTGATTAGGTCAGAGTAATGGCATAATGGTCAAGTCAAGAAAGACACAAAAACTTATGAGGCAAAGAGCGATAAGATTATAGCCTTGTGCAAATATTCAATCCAAACCGTCAGTCTTTTGTTCATCTGTGGCTTTTCTGTTTCAGTTTGCACCTTGAATCTCATATGCCAGCAAACATGGCTCCATATCACCAGCCTTTCAAATTGATTCTGTTTTTGTCCTCACTCATGCTGTTCTTGTCTTTTCCAGAGAAATGTTTGCAAGGTAATGGGGGCTGCAGTCACCAATGTTCAGTGATCCCCAGCAAAGGGGTGGTGTGTTCATGTCCCATCGGACTCCATCTTGGCTCTGACAACCGAACATGCGAGACGGTGGACTACTGCTCTGCTCACCTGAAATGTAGTCAGATATGCGAACAGCATAAGACCACTGTCAAGTGCTCCTGTTATCCCGGCTGGAGACTTGATCCAGATGGAGAGAATTGCCACAGCACAGGTATTTAAATTCCTCAAACTTATATTTGAAATACTGTATACTCTGTGTGTGTGTGTGTGTGTGTGTGTGCGCGCTTGCAACAAAAATAATTTAATGATTTAGTGGTCCAAGTAAAAAAAAAAAGTGGAAAGTTGGTATTTAAAGGAATAGTTCACACAAAAATGAAAATTGTCATTTTTCACTCACCATCATACGTTCCAAATGTATTTGACACATACATAGAAAGTTTTGAAGAATCAGTATGTAGATCTTCCCATGCAACAACAGTTCATACAGTATGTGACCTAGAATGACAAAAAAGCACTATAAAATATCATAAGCAGCAATGATACAGTAGTGTTGTTTTAAGAACAGACTGATATTTGACTTAGTAGTACAAGTATTTTTCTAGACTAGTTTATGATTCTCAGTGAAATTACTTCATGTGCATTCCTGTTTGTCCACAGTGGATCGGTCCACGGTACACAGCAATAAGAGCAACAGTAATACAATGACAGTGGGATACGCAGACAGGAGCTTCTCATTGAGTAGCTAATGTCTTTTCAGCAGCATGCCTGCCAAAAGCTTTTAAATTGTCTCAGGGAATCTGAATTTGGGTCATTAGTCAGAATATGATAACAAGCATCTGTGTGGTATTTTATGGATTTAGTGACGTTATATAGCTCTTGAGAGTAAGTTCTTGTTATAGCAGACAGCCACATTTATACTGTAGCTCTCAGCAGGTTTTATCCAGTACCAATAGAAAAATTTTTTTTTCTGGGATAATGTTGCCTAGTAAATATAGAGCTGGACTGCCAAATTAATTATATTAAGAATATATATTATTCTTAATTATATAATGCCTTTTTATACTTTATATATACCTGGATGACTTTGTTCTGGATGGAACCTGTATTTTGATCTAATTAATGGGGGTTGATTTGTTTTTTTTGTTTGTTTTTTGTGTGTGTGTGGATTTTTCAAAGACGACTCAAGTGTCTTTTACCATTATCCTCAGGTTTCTCTAAGATAAGTGTCCCTGTAAATCTTTTTGATAAAAACATCAGCTAAAAGACTAATTAGTGGTTGTGCACAGGAAAATGTGCATGACTGACGCCTCAACACAAAGCGCAATGCTCTCGTAAACTCTAATGCACAGGTGTGGGGTGCTAATAATCAATTTGTTTCTTCTCCAAGATCCCTTTGAGGCTTTTGTTATCTTCTCTATCCGGCATGAGATCAGACGAATCGACCTTCATAAACGTGACTACAGCCTACTCGTGCCCGGCCTGCGGAACACCATCGCTCTCGACTTCCACTTCAACCGCAGTTTGCTTTACTGGACCGACGTGGTAGAGGATAAGATCTATTGGGGAAAGCTCTCCGAGACCGGAGGTAATGAACAACCAATTTGATGTCCCATTCCTACTCGCCCTTTGTTTAACCTAAGCTTTAGTTTGAGTAGATATTCTGTTTCCCCATTCCTAGCATGCAGGTCATGTCCCCTGAATAGTAAGGCAATACAGAATGCGCTGTGCGTACAGTGGCTCTTTGAATGACGCAGAAAACCTCTGAAGGAGCTGATGAATACCCTTGAATTGTTTTGAAGACTATTTTGAAGCTGCATTAAGCATACATCTGAGTCTTTCTCTCAGAGGAAAAGGCCCCCAGTGCAGCCATTGCGCTCTCTTTTTGTTAGCATTTCATAAAGCCCTCCACAGCTGAGAATAATTGCAAACAGCTGGATTATAGATAGCTGAAAAAAAATCTTGTTTACTGCTGAGGGAAAACTTCCTTTCCTTTAATGCCAGTGTTTTCTTCTCCAGAGTTATTTTCAGAAACCCTGTTGAAAAGACCAGCAAATGTTGTGTTTGGATGCTGATCGCCTGCTTACTCTGCTTTTCTTTTTCACAGTCCCTTCAGCAACGTTCACAGCAGCAAAAGCAAACAGTGAAAAACAAGTTTAATTTCTTTTTTGCCATAATTTGTCCTCATAGAGACTATCTTGGGTACATAACAGAGCAATCATATTTCAGGGGACTTGTTTGTCATATATTACTAATGATAGTTCTAGAATAACGTGCTGCATCTTGCTGTTTATTTGTTGTGTTCTGTTTCCTTTTTTGTCGCCTTACTCTCAGCTGTGCTCTTCTCTTGCTCAGCTCTACATTTCTTACGGAGGCATGCTAGGAAAAGAATAGTCTCAAAGAATAGTCTCAAAAGTCTCAGATATGACTGACGCAGAAAACCTCTGAAGGAGCTGATGAATACCCTTGAATTGTTTGAAGACTATTTTGAAGCTGCATTAAGCACACATCTAAATCTTTCTCTCAGAGGAACAGGCCCCCAGTGCAGCTATTGCTCTCTCCTTTTGTTAGCATTTCATAAAGCCCTCCACAGCTGAGAATAATTGCAAACAGCTGGATTATAGATAGCTGAAAAAAAATCTTGTTTACTGCTGAGGGAAAACTTCCTTTCCTTTAATGCCAGTGTTTTCTTCTCCAGAGTTATTTTCAGAAACCCTGTTGAAAAGACCAGCAAATGTTGTGTTTGGATGCTGATCGCCTGCTGTTGATATTCTGGTGTCCATACCAGGCTTCTTAAAGGGATAGTTCAGCCCAATATATATATTTTTTTTTTTTAGAAGAAGAATGGTTGACTTTTATTGTATGAAAAAAAATACACTGAGACATTTTTCTAAATACCTTATTTTGTGTTCCACAGAAGAGAGAAAGTCATACAGGTGCGGAACCAGTGTTATTTTAGTATTATCGATATACTATTATAGTATTTATTTTTATTTGTATATTTTCAGGTTTCATTTTAATTTTAGTTTAAATTTGTCATTTTATGTCATTTAATGTTTTGTATTTGTATTTTTTTTTATAAATTATTTTTAAATTTATTTAGGTTTTTTAAGTAATTATTATTTAAGTTTGTTTTTGTAGTTTTAACTTCAGGTAGCTGAATTTATTTATTTTTTTTTCAACATGAAGTTTACTGTGAGTTTAATGATTTCATTTAATATGCATATTTTATTTCAGCTTTATTTTACTTACTGGAAACAATTTTTTTTTTATAGTTATAGAAGTAGTTTTCGTTTTTATGTGAACTATCTATCCCTTTAACTACCTTAATTAGCAAGCCTCCTTTTGCCAGCTTCATCTGAAGAATAACGTGCTGCATCTTGCTGTTTATTTGTTATGTTCTGTTTCTTTTTTTGTCTTCTTACTCTCAGCTGTGCTCTTCTCTTGCTCAGCTCTACATTTCTCATGGAGGCATGCTGGGAAAAAGAAAGTCTTAAATATGACAGCCTGAGCTCAGAAAAGTCACACAATGATCCCAGCAGCATTTGAGGACCACAAATAATGCTTATTCACATTGTAAATGAACAAAAACAGGCTTATGGCTAGTAGCTCCCATAGTCACCAGTCACCACTTAGAGGTGACTAACAATCCTTCACTAGAAGATCGTAAGGAGCGGGCAGGAACATAAGGCAGGAGTAAGTCAGATAAATATGTAGGACCAAGGTTATGGAGAGCTTTTTAAGTGAGAATTAGTATCTTGTAGTTTATGAGCAAGGAAACCGGAAGCCAATGAATGTCTTAGAGGATTGGGGCAATGTGATCGCTCTTTCTTGTGTGGGTAATCAAGCGAGCTGCAGAGTTTTGAACATATTGTAGTCATTTGATATTATTAGCTGACAGGCCATAAAGAAGTGAATTACAGTAATCTAGTTGAGATGTGACGAGGGCATGTGTAACAGTTTCAGCATCCTGCTGACTGAGAGAGGATCGAATATGAGAGATATTACGTAGGTGGAAAAAAGCTGTCTTTACTACTTTACCAATGTGATCATTGAATGAAAGAGTGGAATCAATGAGAACACCAAGATTGCGAACTTTAGTGGAGGGCATAATCAGATCACCATCCAGATCCATCAGTTGACCAGAGAGCTTAGATACAACAGCTTTAGAGCCAATCAGAATTACCTCAGTTTTATCAGAGTTAAATTTAAGGTAATTTGCCTCCAGCCAAAGCTTGAGTTCCTTGATGCAATTTGTTAATGCAGGCGGAGGAAACACTGAGGTGGAAGGTGCGCTAAAATAAATTTGAATGTCATCTGCGTAACAGTGGAAGTTAAACCCATAGCGCTTGATTATTTGTCTAATTGGTAGCATATAAATGGTAAAGAGGAGTGGGCCCAAAACAGAACCTTGAGGTACAACAGAACTGATGGATTTGATAGATGATTTGTAATCAAATAATATGCCAATTACTTCTTCGATTTTTATTACATTAATTACATTTATTTTAATTACTTAATTACAGATTTATTGAACATTTAATTCCACATGTTGCCAATTGGAGGCTATAAAAATAAAATGTAAAAATACAACCTAGTTTGTTGTGTTTTGATGATTAGTATGCCAAATAGTTCCATACGACGTAGGAAATGAATGGGAAATACAAAAAAAATACTGTAAAAATACAACCTAGTTTGTTGTGTTTTGATGATTAGTATGCCAAATATTTCTTAGATTTAGATTTTTTTTTTACATTAATTTTAATAATTTATTAACACTCTGGGCCTCTTCGGTCACTTTTGACCAAAAAAATTTACATTTTGAAATTTTACATTTTTTTGCTTCATCGGAATGAGACAGCACTTGGTGATTTTGTCGCATTAGCTATATGAACTCACAAAAAATCATGGACATGATTCAGATATGTTAAATATTTGAAAAATAAAGTAATACTTGGTACCTTCACTGTCAAAAATGGACGACGTAGGAAATGAATGGGAAATACAAAAAAAATACAAAAAAAAAATGTAATAGAAAAAGATAGCTCATAAAAATTTTATAAATATTGCACAGTATCATAAAATCTCCCCAAATTCTAAATAATAATTTAAAAATATATATATTGAACAAAAATATTAGATTAGATTGATTTTCCTAGGGGAAAAAAGTTACATTACAAGGCTTTGGTCACTTTTGACCGCAAAGGTACCAAGTGTGACCCACAAATGAAGACATTTTGTTCCACATCTTGCCAATTGAGGGCTATAAAAATGAAATTAATTTTAAATGTGTAACTTAATTTTTTATATAATATTATATAAATAAATTTTATTCAAAATGAGGTGCTGATACACATATTTTCTCTATTTTTGTATCAAAGTTTAACGGTAACTTGCTGTATTATCTAAGTACAGTCTATTTAGCAACATTTTAATTTGCAGCATTTACATTTAAATGTGTAACAGTAAAATGTAAATGCTGAAGAAAAACTTTATCCTCACATCTGTCAAAGCACCCGACAGAGCAAGTTCTTAAAACGTCTTGCTTTGTTTTTTGTTTTGTTTTTTTGTTTTTTTCCTCAAATGTATTTATCATTATAGTACATGCTATTGATGGCAGTTTACCATGCAACAGCACACAGGCACAAATAATATATAATTAAATTATTTTCATTATCAGTTCTTATAGATTTTTATTGATTTGCTGTTGTAGCCCTAATTGTGGCTTATGTTTGCCTGTTTTATGCAGCTGAAACATTTTTGCCAAACCCTATGAGCAACCCATAGAGGAGAAATATGGTATCTCCGCAGTCCAACTAGAGCTCATATTGAAGCTCAGTTGGATGGCACACTGTAAATTATTTAACTGAAAGCTGAAAAGAATAATTAGGGAAAATATTCAAAGATTGATTTCACACTCAGCAGCGTGGCACATATTAAAAAGCACCAAATTCATTACGTAGTTACTCTGAAATGCCCCATACAGCTGTGTCATAGAGAGGTGTGTTGAAAATGTTTTGTAGTTCTGAAAGGATAAGCGTCTTTGTAATTAGCAACTCTTTTATTCATTGAAAGCCTGGTTTAATAATTTGTACGCCACTGGCCAATTAATTGGCCTTCTGAAAAGAAGGCTACATCCTTGTAGCAAAATTAATGTGAAGCCTTTTTGTATGCTTACCTTCCATGCGCCTCAAACGTTTGGCTGACAATTTAATTATTTTTGATGCCTGATGCAGGAACATGATCACATATTTCATTAGCATATGAGCTTGATGCAAGTATTTAGCATTTTATAATCCCCGTAATACCCACATTAGAATGTGCCCTTTGTTTTCATGCCACCCCAGATAACTGTGACATCAGTTAAAAATTAACACTCATGTTTGACATTGACTTCACTGGCAGACTGTTTCCAGTGAACCGAACAGTATGCATATAAAAATAATAGTTTGAGATTAATATACTATTTTACATAAAAATGTTTAAAGTTTTTTTTTTATGATGTAAAGTGGCACTGTTCTCTAGGGCAGCATAGGATGCAGCCCTGCACACACAGCTCTCATACACACACTCCTCTATTGCTCAAATGCAACAGTTTCATAGGTTTGTGCCCACTCTAAGTTCAGTGACCAATGGCATCGCTCATTGAAAATGAATTCTATTCTAGCAGGTAACTTTATTCTGAGTCAGCTCCCTGCGCTATATACTTCCCATGTGTATTTGTATAGCACTTGTCACAATACATATTGTTTTAAAGCAGCTGCAGAGATCTGTTAATAGTTCAATCATGAGTAAATAGTGAAAATGATGGTAAAATAAATATTTTAGAGTGTGTTGTAGATGTGTTTGTTGGTATTTTATTTGGAAGAATATTATTTTGACTTGAAATGTTCACACTGATGGGCTTATATGGTAAGATGAATAGTTTTTAATAATTTGGATCTGTATGTAGCATGCTATTCTGGACTGACTGGGATGCCACTTTTCCACGGATTGAGGCAACGTCAATGAGTGGAAGTGGAAGACATGTTGTGTACAAGGACATGGAGTTTGGAGCCTGGCCTAATGGACTCACGCTAGACCATCAGGAAAGGAGAATAGTGTGGACAGATGCTCGGTAGGGGAAAATAAAAATGCAAATTAATAATTATATTTTGGTTCAATTTACAAGAAACGTTGACTTTAAGTCTAGGTGTTTTTGCATAAATGCTTTTTTTTTTTAGGTAAAACATTTTTTTGATGATTTTTTTTTGTATATATGTAAAAACTCGAAACATTCTATAAAACAACCATAATACTTAATACATTTAAACCAAAAGGAATAAATGAAATTATGATAGATTAATTCTTATGCTGTACTTTCAGTGCTTGACTCTTCAGTATTTCCCTCAGGAAGTTGTCATCATTATAACATCGTTTTGATATGGGCATAGAGTGCCGTTCACACCTCATGTTTCTCTTTTTCCCTTCAGCTCAGATGCAATATATTCAGCCCTGTATGATGGCACGGGGGTCATTGAGATCCTCAGGGGCCACGAGTACCTGTCACACCCGTTCGCTGTGTCTCTCTTTGGAGGAGGTGTGTACTGGACAGATTGGAGGACCAACACTTTAGCCAGAGCGAATAAATGGACAGGCCACAATGTAACCGTCATTCAAAAGACAAGCGCCCAGCCGTTTGATCTGGAGATATACCATCCTAGCAGACAACCTCAAGGTGGGTCTGTAATTATCGAAATGCTGTAAATTCCATATAATTCAACATAATTACTTTAAACTTGTTTTACTGATTTAATATCAACAACAAAAAAAAACAGTGCTTTATTTATTGAAGTGGTTTACGATTTTTGAATATGCAAGGTTTTATAATCTGTTTGTCCAGCATTTTGGGCTTATTTTTCACCAAAACTGTCAATGTGAATTGCCTTCTCTGTGAAGGATACATACAAGGATATGTTCTCATTGAAAGAATGTCTGTGATGCCTTAACACAGGGTTTCACATACTGTGGTTGTTCCTGAGTTATTTAAATGATAATTATTTAAATAATAAAAATTCAGTAAATACAATCATTTTAGATGATTGTGTATTTAATAAACACGTAAAAAAGTACTGTGCTGTGGACAACAGTGTCATGAAATAGAATGATAAAATCACTTAAAATCAAAGAATAAATACAGTCATACACAAGTATGATGCTGAGTGTTTTGCTTGAACTAACTAGACTAACACAGCCTTGTTGCTATAGTGACAACAACTTCTGTTTATAATATGTATAACAAGCATCACAGTTTTCTTGAATATAATTGCTGGAGGTGTCTGTCTAGGCATGAAATCCGGAGAGAAGATCTTTACTGAAAAATCTCACCCTTACTGATGCTGATCATCCAAATGTTCTGTTAGAGTGTTTAAACTTCTTATTTGACACTTCTGTTTCCTGTTAGCGTTTGTACTCCATGAGCTCATTCTGCATGCAAACCACACACAGCAAGCTTGGCAGTTTTCATGTTGACCTAACGTGCTTAGCTGCACGTTATTGAAAAAAAATAACATGATCCGCCTATGTTCGGTTTTAGTCTGGGAGACAGAGAGAAATCTTCCTGCATGCTCCGTGGGGCGAGGATTCATTTGAGCCGAATCCCGCTGATCATTCATTTCTTCTGCCAATCTGGAAGCCCAAATGGCTCTGTTTGAGACCAGCAGAATAATTGAAAAAGGGGGTCATGCAGAGCATAAGCAGGCCTGACATGGACTCAAGATGTGCTCCTTCCTCAACCCAAATTCATTTTAATTGTTTCACGGTACAGTGTCACACAGGGCTTTGTAGCCAGCAATGGCAGCAGATTATCTTCTGTTAAACAGACAGTAGCCACCTCAGTCTTTAAAGGAAAAAAAAAAAAAACATACAGAGATTACTTTTATTGGCATTTTCTTATTAATAGACTGAGATTATGATTTAAAAAATTTTTTATCATTGTCTTTTTGTATAATTTATTTGACTTTTGTTCGTTCAGATGTATTTTTTGTTTGTATTTTTTTTTCACTGATGATAAATTGTACGTTATTATGTACACTTATTATATACACTACATGGTTAGTTAAATTTTTTTTTTTTTCAAAAAATGTATGCATTTCTTCAGCAAGGACATATTAAATAATTTTTAATTAATTTATATGTAATTTTTAAATTATCACTGTTGTTGTTTTTTCACAATTTTTATTCCTTACAGAATGAAAAAAGTATCATGTTTTCCACAAAAATTAAAGTTTCTACATTATATTTAGTAATAGCTTATCAGTGGTGACTCTCTCAAGTTGATGTCCATATGGCAGAAATGTACAGTAAAGATCAAGCAGTTAGTTAATGTCATGTAATCAAACAGGCAGTGAACACCATTAACAGCAATGATTATACTGTATATTGCGATCAAACTTATAGCAAAATTTGGTAGTTTTGTATGTTGTCTGAGGGTTGGCACATGAGTACATTACATTTTAAAATATATTCAAATTAATTTATTAAAATTAAAAAAAAAAACACTACATTTTCTGTAATTATGACATAACTCTGTTGAGCTATTTTTACTCTTACTCATCTCTGGTTTATAAAATTTTCATTTTTTGATTTGTAAAACATGTTAACAGAAGTTATTGTAATTGCCAAGTGTGCCAGGTGTCCAGATGTCCAGAAATGTAGCCTTCTGCGAGTGTTCATCAGCTGAAATAATCTGATTTGCATCATTTCAACCAGCCCAAAACTATAGGAAGTCCTGCCAAAACAGCTCATGTCTTCTGCCACAGCATCGGCAGCTGGGTGACTGTTTTACACCGATAAG